GGGCCCTAAGCAAGGCCTAGATTTGAGGTGCTCTGAACTAGACTTATGGATAGAACAAGAGCTTAAGAGCTAAACTCAATTACTAGGACAAGGCCTGAGGCTGCAAGGAAACTTTCCACACAAAGTACGTTTCCTAAATGTTGATAGCAGATGGCCCTCCCATCCCAAAGGCTGGAGATGTGCTGACTTTTCACTCTCATTGTAACTTGTTTGCACATCACAGGACTTCTGATTTTTGATTTTTTAATAAGCTTGATCTGATAAGCTAAGCTAAACACACTTTTAAAATAAATTTCAAGTGTAAAGATCGTTACTAATTCTGTTGTTCCGATTCACAGAGATTGTTAACATAATTTCCTTTTTCCTTTGGCACCTAAGCAAAATCTGGCCTAGATTTAATTATTCTGGTAGTAAATAGGAAGGAGCCTAACCAGAGGTGACCAGTAGTAGTGCTATCTGAATGTGTCTTGCAATCTCTGCTTTTGTAGTGAATGATGAATTAATGTTCCAGCAACATTTTGTTTTTCTGTACCCTACCCTGATTCATTAGCTTTATTCTGCTTTTTCCCAGTTTTACCTTAACTGCCTCTGTGAAGCCAAAGATAGCTGGCATTGGTAGTCATGTTTTTGAGATTACCTGCTCAGGAACGTCTGTCCAAAGAAGCCTGCTTTCACTGTTTCACACAACTGAAACAACTTGTGATTTGATGTGCTGTTGCCTGGACAAGTGTATGAAGGGAATTGGTTTAGACTAGTTCAGCAGAAGAGAGCTGTTTATGAATGGACTCAGACACACGGAGGTCTGAGAATGATAAGTGCAAGGCTTCATCCCTCTGGGTCAATGGTCTTTGGGACAAGGCAAAGAGGAGACAGAAGCTGAGGAGACACTGCTGTTTTGGAGTCTGTATTTCAGGTCACAGACTTGTCAGATCAGCAAAAGTCATGCAGCACGAATGGTGCCAAAGCACACTTGGTGGTTGTGCATGAATATTTATCCTTTGTCTTTTTATCATCAACTTCATTTTGCATTCTGACCGACTTGTCATTACACACCTTCTTTGACGACCTACTAGACAAAACCCCCTCAATGTGCTTTTTTTTCTGGTACACCAGGCAATGAGCTAAAATGTGGGTCTGAGGAAACTTTCGTGTCACCCTCTTCTTGGAGCTTTCTTCCAGATATTCTGTGTTGTACTGGATTCCCTCCTGACTGAGGGAAGGGGTGGAAAAGCTCTTTCCAGCTGAGCAATGGTGACCCCAGACATTGTTCTGAGACATGTTTTGGGACTGCTGTCTGTGTTGTGGTGCTACTTACAGCAGCATAAGCATTTCTTCAACTGATCATCAGTTGGAGGTTGTGGATGGAACTTGACCCCTGACCTGTGGCTCACACTTGTGTTCTAGACCCTGGTGCTGACTGGTAGGCCTTTCCCTCCTCCCTTTAGCTTGTAGATAGTTATTTGCCATGCATCCAGACCTAATGCAGTATGGAGGGAAAGGTCTTCAGGTTCTCAGAGTGTATCTACACATGTGGTCAAATCCCAAGCTCATTAAATTAGTATGTGCAGTGGAGTCCTGCTACTGATTTATGTTTTCATCTATGCAAGGTAAATTGGATTGAAACTTCACACCATTTAAAAAGGAGAATTGAGATTCTTGCTTATGTTTGAGTTCTAAATTAGCAGGTACATGACTAAGCTTCATGGACCTGAAAAAGCTGGGTCTGAGTTAGTATGATCCCTATACCACTGACTTTTGTATCAGAAACCAGATGTACACAGCCTCACATTGTGAAGTAAGATTAATTTAGCTGTTGGCAAATTATGTGCTGTATAAGAATGTTCTGTGAATGACTTGGATTGCAAATTCTACTTCTTAATATTTGCAATGCAAAGTACCAGTAACATGAACAGGGCACTACTGGTTTCAGCTGAACTTTGCAGAAATGTGAATGACAGGCACCCAAAATAAGGAAATAAATGGTGGAGAACTAAACAAAAGAAGACCTACTGAGTCATGTATTAAAAGCCTCAATCTAAATGATAACATGGAAGATAGATATAAAGGTAATTACAAAGGTTTTAGAGCTATAGTTCCTCTAAAAGTGCAGAAGAGGTGGCTTCTCTCTTACAAAAAGTTGATTTGTGATTATTCTCAGCTATAATTACAGGGAGCGTCACAGAGGGGGCTACCAAGAATATTTCTATGTTTCAGTTTAAGACATTATTTTAACATTTATAAAATGTATCCATTTTTAGAACCAAATTCTTGTTCCCCCTCTTTGAATTGTTATAGCAATAGCTGAAGCAAAACAAACTTCCCATGATCTACCTACCTTGGAGAACAGAACCACTCTGGATAATAGAGGTGAATTAATGATATGCAAGCTCAGTTTTTGATGTGCTTCCTAACTGTACCAATTCACTTGATGCAAGTCCCTAAAGGAACACAGGTATTAAGCTATTACCCTGAAGCAAAAGCCACTGTATATTGTCCTAGTGATCCCTTACGTGTAGTTGCTCTTCAACTTTGCTCACTTTTATGTTGGTAAAATTTTTGATTACTTGGCATTTGTAAATGCTGAGTATATGAAGCTTAAGTAGCACAGATTATGGTTTTCTATTGAACAGAGATGGTAACATCAGGAGTCTCTTCTGTTATGGTTCCTGCTAGTTACTAACCAACCAGTAACTGTTACTTCTCCTAAGCACATAGATACACCTCTGCAGTGATTATCTTTGCACCAGTAGCAAAGACATTAAAAATGTTCCTTACTCATATCAGTGAGATGTAGAGAGATGAACTTTTCTTGCACCCTGTATTGCTGATGATAACTGTTTTCTTGAGTCTTATTCAACCTTACGAAATTTGCATCCTTCCACACCTCTGGGATTGGTTCCAGTCTTACATGTTCATGTGTTCTCCTAGACCAAATTTCCTCCCCAGTGTCTAGCTGCCATTATACTAGCTGAAAACTGCACCACGTTTTGCTGTTTGCCCCTGGTTCCTTCCCAGAGCTTTGCTATAGGAAGAGGCCAAGCAAGCATTCCCTAGTGCACTACAAGTAAAGACAGCCTGTTTAGCTCCTATCTGTGTTCATCACCAGGTGAAATGAATCTGGCTGATTTAGCTTAAACAGATTAGGAGGTAATTTGTGATCCCTTTCACTAATGGAGCAGTACGTTGGGTACTTGGAAGGCAGCAACAAGCACCAGAGACAGTGCTGTCATCTCCCAGAAGAGCTTCTCTTCAGTCTCAGGTTTTTGCAGTAGTCATATCCTTGAACCCAATCTTGTACCCCTCAACTTTCATGCTTTTTCTATGTACCTTGCCTTTATTTTTACCTTAGTGGTCACAACTAAAGATATATTTTGACATTTTAAATGGGCCTTCTCTGTTCAGCTTGCTCTGACTGTCTTTATTATTTAAACTTGTGTTTAATATTAGGTTCCTTCAGCTCATCTCTTCCAGTTTCAGTTCTTACTTTCCATTTGCCTTCATTATAATTTGCTATCCTTGAACTGCAATAAACTCTTCCTCGTTTCACATCTTCCTGTACAATATTCAGATCTGCTATTGCTCTGCCTAATTTTACCATGGCTGATGTGAAAAATCTTTGCTACAGAGCCAGTAGTGAAGAGACAGACCCTTCTTCTCTTTGCCACATTCCTTCTCACTCTTACATAAAATCTCATCTGAAAAAGAAAGGCATTCTCTTCTGTGATCATAACTTCACTTTCCTCTCTTTCCTGCTGCTCTTCCCTTTGGGATACATTTTAATACGTCACCATCCATGGAAACTGCACTGTTTATGTTTGCAATTTTTCAATGTGCTTGGAGTTGGGGTTTTCCAGATGAATGGTGTATTAAGATTTAATCTGAACCTAGTCAGATAATATTGACCTGCAATGAAAAAGCTGTATGAATGAGATAGCAGCAGACAGCTTAAAGTGCTGAGTGCCAAGTGCTGACTGAAAAATGATACCCTAGAAGTTTGGTGGTAGAGAGCAGATGGGACATTTATGAATTGAAAAGCTTTCTGATTGTTTAAATATTGCGATATTTTTATTTATTTTTTTTTAATTTTCTCAGTTTTTGCAACATTTGCCAAAATTTGCCTGCTTCTGTAGGGTGGTACAGCAGGGAGCTCCCAGGAGCTGCTTATCCCTCTGTAAGCTACCACATCTTGATACCAACTTCAAGCCCTCTATCTGTTGCCACAGAGTTCCCCAACATTAAAACAAATAAGAACTGAACACAAGACTTTGGGTTCCTGATGCTCCTCTCTATGACCATTTCAGCTATACTTCCCACTGTTCAGTGTTAGCAGTCAGCGGGGAAACATGTATTTTGTTTCCAAAACCAGGATCTCCTGCAACAAATCCCTAGGTGATACAGTATTGCCACAGCTTGCAAGTCACATTGTGTTAGGGCCACAAACAGTGAGTTGGCCCTTGCCCAAAGCAGCTTTTAATTCAGGTCATGTATATGGAAGATAGGCAAGGGAAGCTGTTTCTGAATATATCTGAGTTGCTTGGGTTAAATGTGGTGAATTATTTCAGTAAACATATTCCAAAACTTCCTCTTCAGTTTTTCACAAGTTCCACATTCGGATGCTGCTCTGAACAAAAAGGAACAATTAAAATGCCTTTCTGAACGCATTTGAAATTAAATAAGTTACTGTAATTTCCCTGGGCAAGCCAGCTCTTTGGAGGGGGCAAAAATTGCAAATGGAAAAACAAACAAACAAACAAATAAGCGAGTAACTGTGGGAGGTGCTGTCATAGAATCAGAAGCAAGCCTGGATAGAAGGGCAAGGGAAAGCTTCTTGTTTTCCCTGGGATAATTTGTAGAAAACAAAATGTGGGAGGGTGTTGAAATGAATGGGGGCAGGGGGGAAATCCACTGTCTTTTGTTTTGGTTTGGTTTTTTGTTTTGTTTTGTTTTGTTTTGTTTTTTTAATTTGTTTTTGTGTTTTTGTTTTTGTTTTTTAAATCCAGATAATGAGGCTACCAGGATCCACGATGCTGCTATTAAAGAGGACTGGCTTCAAAGACTTTGAGAAAAAAAATAGAAATTTCCTCCTTCGTTGCTCAGGTTCTTCACTTACAGGGGTTCCTACAGCTACATGAGTAGGAGATGAGTCCCTTGGTTTCAACTGTAAAGGGGAAGACTGAATGAGTTTGCCAGACGCATCAAGTTAACAGTCAGTGAGCTGAGAAAAGCAGGACTACCAGTTACCTTTCTGCTTTCCAAATCCAGGACCAGCAAGAAATTAGTTTAGGTCAGCCTACAGGTATAGAGTATGCTTCACCTCCCATGAACTGGGGATGGGAAGCGAAGGAAAGAGTGCTGCAGGGCTGCTGATTGTCTGCTCTCCAAAGACTTCCTGTTAAGGGGAATCCTCAGTTGTCCATTTAGGGTAGTATTATAGCTGCACCAAGCTGCTGAGACATGCAAAGAAGCTGCAGATGGGGCTGAGAGTACAGCTTGATACTTTTCTGTTGAGCCACCCATTTACAGCATCCTCAAATGCCTGCTAGAGGTGGGTACTAAGACTGCTGGTAATGGCTAAAGGGAAAGCAGGGGGTCTGGTTTTAATAAAAAGGTAGTTTACGAACAGCATTTTTCTTATTATAATGATAAAATGGATATGAAACAGTTACACTCCAGACCCTTATTTTTCAGTGCTATTTATTTTTTTTTCAGAACATTGAACACAAAACAAGCAAAAGGAGGGAAAAAAGAGGGGCAGGGGGGAAAGAAAACTCCCTTCAGACAACAATCACCTTTTGAGTTAAATTCTCATGCTTGTTCTTAGCCCAGAGGGATTTATCTTGAGTGAAGTTCGAAGAAAATCCTTTCAGCAGTTTCTGAGTTATTTAAATGTAACCATGGAGGTTTGGATTCAGATGCTTTTTTGCACTTGTATAACTCAAAAATAGCTTTGCTTTAAAACTTCTAAATTAACCCTCCTTAACTTTTCAACTTGTCACCTATCCTACTGTATGGCTTATAAAATTTTAAAGCTAATAGTATAACAAACTCAAATAATGATACTGCAGATGTTCAAATGAATCTTGGGAGGAATAAATTATAGGAGTCACAGTAGGTTGTTACTGAAGAAAGAGCGGCTGCGTGCCTTAAACCATGTGTTCTTGCTGGTCTGAAATAGGCGCAATCTTTTCTACTATTAAAAAGCACAAGTGTGTTTGGCTGTGGATTTTAATACTCAGTTACACATATGAAATTAAGCATGTAAGTTCTGTTCCTTTTTTTTTTTTTTTTTTTTCCTCCTGATAGCAGTGCTTCAGACTTGTCAGAACATTCTCTTAAATTTTCCTGCTTTCTTTTCAACACAATCCTGATCATCGGGACACTTAAATGTATCCTAAATATTTATGGACTTCAAAGTCACTGAAATGCTCCGTGATACTCTTACTGTTATTTTATTGCCAGAAGATTGAGGCAATGAGAGGTGAAGTGTCTTGGTCAGTCATGGTTTTTCCTTTTCCTTTTTCTTTGTTCAATACTCCTGTTGCTTTCTTACGTTTCCTTCTCTTTGTCTTCTTTCCAACATTTCTGCCTCACGTACTAGTCCTGTTCTCACTGTCTCCTATCTGACTTTCAATGATCTTTCTCCATTTATTCTTCAACAATTGCACTGAAGAGGGCCCGTGATAGAGAGAAATGATTTTTACTTTGGCAGCAGCTTTTCACTTTTATCTTTTTCCCTAAATGTCTGGGATGGGTCCAGGCAGCTCTCCCCACTTTCATAATCTCTCCTCACATCCCTTGTAACCCTGAACTCTAGTCAGCAATCTGATGTCTGCCATGAGAGCACCTCCCATGATCCAGAGCTGCGATCAGACTAAGGTGGTGTAACACCGTGCATTACTTCACCTACTTACCACGCTTGCTCTGCTGCTTTCTAGGAACTGGACACTCGCGCCAGGTTTTTCTCACAGAATAATCAGATAGCACTGCCACCTTCTGCATGTCTCTCCTCCTTGTTCCTGTGCCCTTATTCCTCTCCCAAACTTTTGTGGTTCAGTCTCGTGGCTGGTGCAATTTAGCCAAGGTACAGGAGACTTGTATTCAGCCTCTCCCTGGGGCAATTTGAACTTGAATCTCTTGCCCCCTGAATTAGCACCCTACCGGAGAGATTATCAGCTGTTCTGTAAGGAGTGTGACCTGAGTCCTTTTTTCAAGTGGGAAGGCTTGTGCTTGACTTGTCAGCCTTGTATTGGAGACACTCACCTGGGTGGGGAAACCACGTCTCCCAGAGCCTGCCCCAATAGATACTTAATACAAAGTAGGGATGTATTCCCTGGAAGAGGGTAACAGAAGCCAGGTTTCTTGCTCTCAGTGATGCTTTGAGAGCAAGCACACATGGCAATCCAGTTAATATTTGATTATTCCCTACAAACTGAAATGGCTCCAATGGAATGGATTGGAGAGAGCCCCCGTTCCACAAGATCCTTTGAGACTGTGCTGTTCTCGCTTGGCTGCTGTGGGTCAGCTCCCTTCAAGCCTCAGAGCAGCAACAGCAGCTGCCTCAGCACCACTGACACTCTATGGGACTAGGTAGTGAGGACATATGTGGAGGCTGGCAGAAAGGGGAGGAAAAGGTGCTCCTGAGCATACTCTGTTATCCATGGAGACAGGTCTGTATCCTTAGCTGAAACAAGCACCTGCCACTGCTGCCTCAGTTACTGTCCTGGACAGGAATGACAATGAAAATGTGTTGGACTGAAAGGAAGTCTGTTAAAAGACAGGGCAGCAGGCTGGGGCACTATAAGGGAAATTGCTTTTAAAGGTGGAAATACAACAAAAATAGACTAAAGAATCTTAAAAGACAAAATCAATGCCAAAGCAGAGGAAGCCAGAATGACTTCCAGAGCTCAGCTATAGGCAGTTGTCCCCCAACATAAGCCAGACACTGTCAGTATGTGGGAGACATCCAGGAATTTTCTCTCCTACAAAAATATTAGGGACATTATATGTTTTAACTGTAATGGAAAAACTAGAGCTGTAGTGCTCCGTTCCAAAGGAGAACGCTAACCATTGGAAGCGATGTGGTACGGGGGGCTGTGTGTGCATGTGTGTGTGTGGCTGCTCCCTTCTCTCCTAGGGATTCTATAGCTTGCTTCATTCTTCGCTTCTCTCATATTACAGAAAGAAGGTAATTTTTCCTGGCCATTTACTAAAGCTCATTAAAGATCGAAGAGAACAAACAATGCTACTCCTTAGAGACTACCATTCAAAGTCATTCTACAATTCTCTGTTCTAATGCTTGAGACAAATTAATTATTCCTTAGTGAAAAGTGTATAATTCCTATTCTTCATTTTTGGGGTGGGGAGTGGGGAATAATAATAGGAAGTTTATATCTGAGTCGAAAGCTGTCTGTGCTGAAGGGAAATGAGAAAAAATGTGTGTTCCAAGAAGAGTAAAAGCAATTATTCTAATAATAATTCTAGGGATATTAATGTCTTTTTAAAGTAGATTGCTTTCAAATAAACACCAAAGTTGAAGGGATAGGAAAGGCTGATTTATTTATTAATCATTCCAAAAGTGCATTTTTCTAAATGAACAAGTGCATGAGCAACTTTGCTGGCACATATTAAATTTAGTTAAATGGCAACTTGTAAATGTCTAAAAACTTCTGTAACCAGAGACTAATTTGTTTAACGTGTTGAAAATGTTATGTGGATGTGAGGAACTACATATTAAACTTCAAAGCAAAATGCTCCAGAGATTACACCATCTTAAAGACTGCATATTGGAAGGTCTTTATACATTAAACATAAAGGTTTTTAATTCTCTTCTATTTTGAATACTTGTCAATCTGCGTGACTCATGTTTAGGATTGTAAACTGTCATTTAAGGTGTGATGTCCAAGTTGAGGCCTGGACCACAATTTGCAAGGGGCTGGATTTTTTCTTTCATCTCTATTAATTAATCCTGTCTCAGTTTGCCCAGCGTACACTTCTGTTGACATCACCTTTTCCATATACTTTAAAGAGTCCCCAGAGAGATCTACTGCAGAACAAAAACTGGACAGAGAATACATTTGGAAACCATTTTATTTCTCAATTACCAACCAAAACGTATGGAAGAGATTTACATTCTATCTGATTTACACAATAATTATACTTTGAAAGCTTAGAAATAAATGGCTTGATCCTTGAAATCATTAGTTACTATACCAAATGTAATTGGTGTAAACTAATGAGTTTACTGGATGGCTGACCCTTAATTACTGATTATAGTTAAACTCTAGCCAATCAAAAATGAGTTTACTTACAAAAGTACAGTATAGTATGAACAAGCATTACATTTCCAAGTAAGCAGCTTCATGATTAGTTGTAGCACACAACTCAAGCCTCAAGCTGCTTTTGATAGCCTGATTCAGGGCTATCAAAAGCAGCTTTTTAATAATAGTGCACTAAGCAATCATCACTCTCTTACCTCAGCGTCCATCAGACAAACAGAAAGAAACCACAGAATTAATCATCTCATGCAATAGAAATAAAGCATCTGGGCCGTATCCAGGCGGGATATACACAGCCGCCTTAGTCAAAAGAGCTGCAAGAGGCTGGGGATTCACTTTAAGATAGGATAACGGACATGGGGAATTCTGGCCCTCTGTGGGAGCAATATGCAGTATGGAGGGTAAAGATCGATTGATAGTTTGCACTCCTGTGTGATATGGAGAAGCTTATCGACAAAACAGGTTTAATAATTCCTTGAATTGAGGAGGATTCCTTGAGCAGATTCAATATGTGGTGATAGGACATGAGGTTACTATACTGGCAATCCCAAAAATTCAGAAGTTATGGCTCTTCTCTATGTATTACATCAAATGAAGAATCGTTTTTAAAAATAAATACTAAATGGGAAGAAATTATTCTTATTTGTTTCTGGTTGATCTTTAAGAACTAATGTTTTTGCCTAATCAGGAAGACTCAAAATTCCTATTAAAAAAGTTGAAAGCAGATTTGTACAAAGACCATGACTGCAGAGTTGGAACTTTAGACAGACACACCACATATTTTGATGAAATCATAGGACTTTACAATACTTACAGTCACATCCATAAAGGCACCTAGGTAAGTAACTCCAATGTTTTAATGATGTGGAAATTCTCCATCTCCTGGAACTTTCCTGTGAATCCTAAACTTCAGATAGGAGACTGATGCTGGAAGGCACAAGCATTAGAAGATCAAGTCTGAGGCGCCGCTGCTACGGAGATCTAGTCAGAAGAGTATGCATTTGCTGGAGCTCTCTAGCCTGTATGCTCTTCAGATGACCTGACAGACCTCACAGCTGTCAGGATTCATTCTGTTGGGATTACAGGTCTCTTCCATTTCTGCTTTCCTCTATGATGTTCTCTCTGGTGCTCGCCTCTCATAAAGAGCTTGGCTCAGCAGAGGACCAACCTAATCTGAGGGCTCTTTGGCACAAGTGCTGTAACACTTGCCTGTTTATTAGTGTAAAACTTTTCTTGTAACTCTGAAAATGAAGCATGAATTAGTTCTTCGAATGTCTGCACATGGGTTAAGGTGAAATTCATGTGTTTACTGAACTCCTATTTGTGAGATGTGTCTGGGGTCACAAAAAGGTTAAAGTTGTTTACTGCCTTCAAGCTCTGTCTGATCTTA